TAAGTTTTTGTATAAAGGTTGTGTTGAATAATAACTGAGTGAACACATCGTTACAATATTTTCATATTTTAAGCACATATATCCCTTTGTTTCATTATTATCTATCGGAAGGAAAGTTGTGCTATTTGCATGACCAATGCTGTAGCTTCGATACGGTGGAAGATGCTATAAATATTTCGAATGCGGTTAAAGAAATTCATAGTCATGCCGGCTTTGAGTTGCGAGGATTTCAGTCTAACTCGGAGGAGCTTCGTAATGCCCTTGGAGATGCATCACCGCCGCTGACTCTCACTGATGGCACAAGGAGCCTTTGCCCTAACGACTTGCTAACGGAAAAGGTCCTGGGAATGTACTGGCGGCCATTAGATGACTCATTTTGTTTTTTACTTAAATTTACAAGAGTACCAAATGATGTATTGACTGGGGAACGAAGACCAACGAAGGCTGAAGTGTTAAGCCTTACCATGTCAATATTTGATCCTTTCGGTTATTTGGCAAATGTTACAATAAAATCAAAAATTATTATACAAGAGCTATGGCGTCTGAACGTCGATTGGAGAAGTGCTATTCCAGAGGAGATTTACCAAAAATGGTTCGACTGGTATACAGAGCTTGATAAGGCTAGAAATCTCACTATCCCTCGTTGCTATAATTTTAATTTTACTAACCCAGATACAAAAATTGATTTACATTTTTTTGTGGATGCAAGCGAGCTTGCATATTCTGCTGTTGCGTACTGGCGGGTGAATTTTGAAGGCGAAGTTGGTGTATCCTTTATTGCCGGAAAATCGCGATGCAGTCCTATTAAGGTACTTTCAGTTCCACGTCTAGAATTGTTAGCTGCCGTATTGGGAGTTCGTTTGAAAGATGCTATTATAAGAAGTCACGATGTACAGCCCCAACTGACAACGTTTTGGTCTGACTCGAAAACTGTTCTCAGTTGGATCAGATCAGATAGTCGTTGTTACAAACAATGCGTAGCGCACAGAATAGCAGAAATTTTAGATTCTTCTAATGTCCATTGGTGGCGATGGATTCCTGGTAAGCAGAATCCTGCAGATGATGCATCATGATTGAATGCAAACATTGATCCAAATTCACGATGGTTACGTGGTCCACATTTCTTGAAGGAACCTGAGATGACTTGGCTGGCCTCCCTGAAGGTATTCCAGAAAAGAGTGTAGATATAGAAAGACGAGCAAAGTGTGTCTTCGCAATAAATATCGGCGAAAATTTTATAGATTTCGATAGATTCTCGAAATATTATAAGCTGCTCAGAGTCATTTGTTGGGTAATGCATGCTGCACGGAAATTTAGATCGGTTCAAAAACAACGAACTAAATGTACTTCTATGCCGCAATTAACCGCAGAAGGTATTGCTCAAGCTGAAAAATTTATCTTTCCCTATGTTCAAGAGAATACTTGGCCAAAGGAGATGGGTATGTTAGCAGGCAAAGAAAAGTTACCGAGAAATAGTATGTTGTTTAATTTAAAGCCTATATTTGATGAATATGGCGTTTTGAGATTATCAGGGCGTACTGAGAATGCTGATTGTGTACCTTTGAATACGAAAAGGCCGATAATTCTGCCGTATAAACATTCATTATCCAAACTTATTGCAAGGCATTATCATGAAATTTACAAGCACCAAAACCATGAATCAATTGTATGCGCTATTAGAAGAAAATTTTGGATAACTAACGTACGTAACTTGGTCCGTTCAGCTAAAACAAATTGTCAGACATGTAAAAACCAAAATGCAAAACCTAAAACACCGCTTATGGGACAGGTTCCAAAAGATCGACTCACTCCATTTGTTCGAGTATTCAGTTATACTGGTGTAGATTTCTTTGGGCCGTATATCGTAGCAGTTGGCCGTCGACAAGAGAAAAGATGGGGATGTCTATTTACATGTTGAACCGTAAGCGCGATTCATTTGGAATTAGCAAAGGACCTGTCTACTGGTTCATTGTTACTGTGCTTAAGGAACTTTATTAACAGGCGAGGTGTTCCTTTGCGAATGCGCAGTGTAGAGGTACAAATTTTGTAGGCGTGAGTAAAGAAGATTGGGTATTAGTAGAGAGAAGGTTGGTAGATGAAGGTGTTATGCATGGGGTAGAATGGTTGTTTAATGCACCTGGTAATCCATCAGCAGGAGGAGCATGGGAGCGTATGGTAGGTTGCGTTCATTCACACTAAAGGCGAAGGTGCCACAAGTGGAAACGTTACTAAGTCTCTTGACTGAAGCCGAAAATCTAGTGAATTCTCGACCGTTAACTCATTTATCGTTAGACAATGAAGACGATGAACGCATGACACCTAATCATTTTATACTGGGCTGTTCAAATAATGTTCAAACACCAATTGTACATGAAGGCGTTTGCTTACGTAAGCAATGGCAGATTCTGTAACAAATGAAGCAAACCTTTTGGAAGAGATGGGTGTTGGAATATCTTCCCACTCTTACACGACGAAGCAAGTGGTGTCGACGAGAATGAGAGACGTGGTGAGTGGAAGCGAGGTATCGTTGAGGAAATTTTTTTAGCGCGAGATGGACAAGTACGAACAGCGATTGTTAAAACTACAACCGGAAGTCTAGGGAGACCTGCATCCAAGTTAGCCGTGTTGGACGTCGTTGGTGAATCTTCCGCTATCCGGTCGATTCACGGGGGCCGGGATGTCATTGACTAAACTAAGAATTATACTAATTTTTTTACAACCACCTATGTGAACATTATTTAACTTGAGTAATTTTAAAACTTTGATATTTGTTTTAATATGGCATCTTTTCAAACAGAACGAATTTTTATCTTAAAAACTGTAAATTTTTACGAAGCGTTAGTTTTCTTTAAAACTGCATACTATTTCTTTCGACTTCATTTTGAAGCGAACGTTTGAAAAAATCATACGAACAAGTAAGATCATTACTCAAATTATATTCAATTTCATTTTACTAATACCAATTATAACTATTTTTAGATATTAAAACGCTTTCTTTATTGTTACTTCTTTACAATAATAAATGTGTTAAATATATACGTGTTTTCTCCAAACGGCAAAGTTGCAGCCGCAACAATTTTCTTTATTTTTTTTTTTTCTGTAATACCTAAAGCAAGCATAAAGTCATTTAAAATAAAATAATTTCAAATATTTCCGTTTATTCATAACAGCGAGCCATTCATACTATCAATAACAAAAACAGCAAAACAACTTCACTGCGCATTTCATTAAAATATATTTCCTATAAGTAGAAGAAGCATAGATGTTACAAAAACAACTACCGCATTCAAACCCTCTTACCTTCTGCTCTTCATCAAAACCGCTTCTTCAAGCGAAGTCAAATTTTGCTAAAAATCTGAAATTGATGTTAAACTCACCACAAAGTAAAAACACATAGATTTAAGAATTTTAATATGTATACGAAAAGCGCACACAGACTTAATAATGCACATGTCCTTCCGTCTTCCAACCTAACATCCACAAACGACTTCTTCGCTACGATGACAAAATCTACAAAAATCAGAATTCAAGTTAATCGGAAGTTGAAAACACATAAATTAAGCGACCAATGTGTATACGAAGATCATACACATGCCCCATTTTCTTCCCTTGTACCCGCTATCCACAAGCAGTTTCATTCCGACTATCGCAAAATTTGCAATAGTCAGAAATCCCAGTTGGGTTGAAATCAAATACAAACCCACTCAAAAGGTCTCTGCACGTTTACGAAATACCCACACATACACATGCCACATCTTATCCCTCATACCCCGAGTCCACAAGCAATTCCTAGCTGACGATTTAAAACTTGGTAAATTCAAAAAAAAAAAAACGCGAAAAGAAGCGAAAGGAGGATTTGTACCCGCGCAGCTTGGACAAAAATCAATCGACGCAAACCATTGCACCACTGATCACTTTGAAGTTTTGTTGGCATTACTGGTATTTATTTAGACAACAGCTGACAACAGTATTTACAAAATCTCAAATATTATTCCAAAGAATGGCTTGTATGTATCACCATATTGAATTCGACTTATGAACTATGGGAACAAATGCGATTATAATTTCAGTCAATTCATTGAATTTGGTTAAAGTATATTCGATGTTGCAATGAATTTGGACCTTCCCGTTATTATAAGTTTTCTGATCGAGTGGCACACAAGCAACGAAAATGTTGGACACAATCAATCATGAGACCAAATTTGCTACATTTGAGTTTGAGTAAATAATGTTTAACTAAGTATATTGTATTGTATTAGCTTAATCCGATTTGATCGAAGTGAAAAATAGCATTCGAGTACAATTACGAGTGCACATTCACGTATTTAATTGAGTAGACACAAACAAAAGCGTAGTCAAAGGACGCCGCGGCGACCACATTATACACAGGCATAAACGCAAACATAGATTGTCGACCTTTTAGTTTTTTATTGGTTTTCAAAGTATAGTATAACTTATTAGTATATACTCGGCGTATATACAATACCGCTGAAGCTTTTTTTGGCAGAACTTCTCTTTTAATCTTTTCTCGGTTTTTCCGCCCCCGAACAGACATTCCCTGCGAAGTGGCTACCATAACTAAAATGATTACCTTACATTTTTTTTACTTAAGCTAATTTTTGAAAGTTTGTACGTTGGCCGGGTCAGAGCGAAAAAAGCTCCATAGGAAATCCTGCAAAAATTATTAAAATTGAAAAAAAAACTATTGCATTTTTCATAATTCGGTTTATAAGAGCTGCATCTTTTTGTTGGCTTTCAAAAAATAACCACTTTAATCTGTACGTTCATCTCAACATACATGTAGCTCATCTTAGATACATGTACACGTATATGTACATTTTCTATTCAATAACCATTTAAACTCTTACCTTTTCGGCCATTATGACTATTTTAGCACAATATATTTTGTATTAAGTTTTTCATATACAAAAAGAAATATATTTAATATAATAAATTCATACACACATACATACTATTGTATAATTATCGTGTACCTATACCTGTTAATATTTCGATTAAATCGACTGTATTTCCTTCTATAGATATATTTGTATTACAATTAGATTTTTCTTCTTTGTTAAGAAGACAAGATATTTTTTCCAATCGAATTCGTTCTAGCGGCACTGTTAGGAATCAAAACTGCATAAAAAATTCAATTATTGCTTCTTATATATGTGTTTTGCAAAAAATGCAATTAACCCAAATTGTTAAAGTAGTGGAAGAACTGTTATTAAGAGAATATCAAATACGAACGTTGAACCAAGAGACCGCAGAACGTTTGTGTATAAAACGCGCATGCTTTAACACATGTTGCGACTATCAGTATTCATCGACATTACGGTGAGACAAAAAGGCATATGAAAATTTATTACGAAAAAATTCAACGTCCACCCATGCATTGAAACTATGACAATGCGCGTGGCGCATGTATGTGTGTATATATGGTTTCAACGTGGGCAGTTTAAGTATAATTATTTTAGCTTTAATGAAGATCTAATAATGGTTTCCACTGAAATTATGTGTTCACTTTACACTTCTGGCGCGTATGTCTATCCGCGTTTGCTTATACACGTTTTATAATAAATACTTATCAGGATGTCCATTGGAAAGTCAATAAGCAATACTAGTTTTATGTAAATAATAATATATATATTGAATAAATATAATATCGTATTACAAACGTTTTCAAAAAATCGGTATCGTCGCATTCGCGTTAACTGTTCGTCGTCGTTGCAATACATCTGTCTAATGGCGTGAACTCATAGAACTGAGTTCAAAACTGTAGTAGAACACCTGCTCAACCAATGCTACTGGAATCGTACAAAACGAGCATAGGCTCATTCGAAAGGATATTTTTAAAGGTGTCATATGACTGTTGTTGCACAGTGTGGCTAATTGGGTGCGTCGAGCAAATTGAGCGCTCAGTAAACATGCTCGGCATGGGGAACGGTTGCTTCCAGTATTTTTATTGTTTGTTGTTCTTTATTATTTTTTTCCACTAAAACCACGGGAGGTGAATAGGGTGACTCACTCGGTCGTACTACGTCATTTTCTAGTAATTCGAATATTATTTGTGATATTGTTGGCCGTTTGGAAAAAGGTATTTGATAAGGTCAATTAAAGAATTTGCGCAGTATGAAAACAATTTCCATTTTGAAAATATCAAACTCTCCGATTTTTACGATAAGTAACCCACTGTATTTTATTAAGAAAATTGGTAAATTGCTTAACATTTATGCTACGAACTTGCTTGACAGTTATTAAGCGGGTAGTGGCAAACAAGTTTTCCGAGTAGTATATTTTCACATATTGGCTTGTCATTAACAATCACTTTGTCCGATTTAATTTTTTCATCGCCAAAATTTTTCATCACATATTTGTTACCAGTGGAAACTTACTCCCCACCCCCGAAACCTCTTAGTTTCACTTTTGTATGACCCTATGTAGCTGGAAAACGCTCTTCTCATTAGTGTTCGGATGCTACCTGGATCAACAAAATTATTAAATATGACAGTATTTTTTATATTACCGACCTTAGTTTTGTTAGGGCACCTTTTTATGTATAGAACGCTGAGAATTAGAGCATCAAGGTTTTATAGCGATATGTGCAACTTTAGCTATAGCATTTTTAAGTGTTTGTTGATCGTGTTTGGTTAAAGCTTGGAGATTTATTTGTATCCTTACAAACTATCGGTTGCGATTTTGATAAGGAGTGGTATGTTTTCGATTTTCGCGCGCACTAATTTACGTCAATATACACGCTGTAATTCAATATGTATTTTAAAAAGTTTTGACACCGTACATATTCGTTTCATACTCTTCATTTTAAATCATTATCGTTAATGGCGTTTATTATTTGTTTCGTAATGCTAGCTTCTACTGAGCCACCTTTCAAACCGTGGGCTAACATTTTGTAAAAATATTCAACTGGCGATTCATTTTGTTGACGTTTTGTTAGCGACAGCTTTATGTGTGTATGTGCCTCATTATACCTCTTCATACATACATATATGAAAAGCCGTTAAGAAATTTGTTTACAAGTTGTGTTCAATTGACGAAACCGATCTGTAGTGAATCGATCCATATTTTCGTGGATCCACTTAATTCGTTGCACCGCAAAATTACCACTTTTTTACATTTCAACGCGCTTAATTGAGTTGAATTTATAAAAGTTTCTGGTAACAACTCAATAATGTTATACGAAGATTGCTAATCATTAGGCTTACTATTCAGTTAACCGAAATGTGAATCAGTACAAACAACATGAGTTCTAAGTATTGATTAAATTTATTAAGATTTTTATGTTCATTTATACTACAATTTTTGTCACAATTCATTTCCGGGGTTCCGCTTAGCAACCATATGTTTGCTGAAATCGCATTCAAAGTGGACATGGAAGTGGTTTTATTAGTGCTTTTATTATGCCTTGCTCTGCTTATATAATAACGGCGGCGCAGAGTCATTGTTTTTATTGTTTTATTTACGTAGTAAAAGGTGGTTTTTTAAGAGCTATAGGAAAGTTTAAAAAAAACACAAAAAATTCAGGAAAATGAAGGAAATCTTTATTTGAATTGATAGTACGGTCCATATAATTTAATGTTAGAAGATAATTTCATGCAAATGTTGACCATAACTGCGCCTCTAATGGCTCATCCGCTTAGTCCAATTTTGGCATAATCTTTCTCAAATTTTGGCCGGTATCTCACTAATAAGTGCTTTAATGTTGTCCTCCAATGCGTCAATTGTAGTGGGCTTGCCTGTATAGACATTCGATTTAACATAGCCTCGCAAAAAATAGTTTAAAGGCGTTAAGTGGGAAAAAAAATTGATATCTCACGTTAGTACTCACCATTCACAGTTACGATTCGATTTGCATCGTCTTTAAAGAAGTACGGTCCAATGATGCCACCAGCCCAAATTGCGACTTTTTCTGGATACATTGGTAGCTCTTGTAATGCTTTTGGCTGATCTTCACTTCAAAATCGACAATTGTGCTTATTTACGCACCCATTAAGCCAAAAAAGCCTCGAATCGTGCGCTAAAGAAGCGGTTAAAATTTTATTTTAAATGTTGTTGAAGCTGAGTTTGTGAGCCAGACGTAGGCAAACCAGAGTCCTCACACTTATTTTCAAGTTCATTTAATGTTACGTTTCTATTCGACAATTTGGTTTTTATTTTGTTTCAGTTTTCATTCTAATTAGATTTTCATGACAAATACATATAAATATGAGTGAAGAACAATACCATTCATAATGCAAATCGAGTAAGAGATAACTATAGATTTATTTACGAAATCGTTGACGAAAGTGTGTAATGCAAAACGATAAGCGGTGTGAGGACGGAGTACGATAATGAACGACGCGAACATACTCTACAAAGCTGCATATTTGAATTTAGACCGTTGAGTTCAGCAACGATCAGCCTCGATGTCCACGGAAGTCTGATGTTAATATCAGTGGCAAGTCGTAAAACCCCTGAAATCGTTTATTTCGCACAATTAGAAAATTAAACACTCTTTGCTCGTTTTACTTTAAATTTACGAACGTTCTTTCACGTTTACCAAAACATTATTACTAACATCTTTAAAAAATCGGGTTTGTCGCGTTCGCGTTAACTGTTCGTCGTCGTTACAATACAACTCGTCTCCTTAGCGTACGTATTATTAAAAGAGTAGTGTCGCATGTCAGGGTCGCTTTCAAATAACATGACTATATTTATTAGGCGTGGAACTTCTATGTGCTATGGATACATACATTTTTTTGTATATTGGAGTATCCCAAAGGAATCGGGTAGTTGAGCTAAGTAAGTCGAGGTTTAGTGAGCTTTACACACCGATTTGACCAAATTTTATTTAATTTTTGACGTTACTCCTTTACTACTGAATCTACTCATTATCTTAAGTTAATTCAGAGTCCTTTCCAAACTATTGCGCTCTCATTAGTGTGTGCGAACATCTCTTCGCCGCAGCCGGATTTTTCTAGATGAATTACACAAAGCGTTAGCTAATGAGTTGGGGCGATTTTCCAGTTTTACGAGGTACTCATTGTAGTTTTGCTCCTTTCAGCTTCAGGCTTAACCAGTAGGACACCAAGCTCTCAATGTTTGTTTACGTTGCCATTGTACCACGGTGCTCCCGTTATTACCCTCAGAGTTTTGGATCCGAACCTTTATATTATCTCAACAATATTTGAACAGGTCATACCAGACAATTGGATACCATACATCCAAATCGGCATAGTACTTTGCATTCTAGTTTTCGGATACATTTAATTTCATGTGTAATATTTTGGCAGCTACATACCTTTTCCAAGTGAGCATTCTATCTCGTTTGCTTGGTGAATAGTTGTACCCTTTAAGCCATTCTTCGTTGAGATATAAATGTTACCCAATAGTTTGCGTTGCTTTCATCAAGGCATAATACTTGTATGGCTGCGTCGTCCCCGAAAGTAGATATTTGTATTTTTCGGTTTGTACTAATCGGATGTCTGCAATGTATATAACGTATCTGATATATACAATTATCGTGCAACAGTGTTAGACAGGATACTCCTCTGAAACGGCTTAACCGATTTTAATGAAACTTGAATGCAATATGTACCTATTCAGCGGGTTTAAAAATCGGCTAGCATTTATTTTTCACACCAGGAAGAGGACTTGTGATTGATCTACGAGTATTAGAAAAAATCTTGTTTCGATTTATTTACTTGAAATTCGGTACGTGAGTGTTTTTTTCTTAGATTAACGGGAAGACTACAATTATCTACCCTTTTGCTTAGATGAACTGGAAAACAACTCCTTTCTCCGGGATGTGGAAAAGGGGCTGGTGTCTAAGCGGGTGGGGGAGAATGTGAAATGCATTCAAGTTGAGCACTAGGCTCATTATAAAGAGTTGTGGCCTTTACCCAATGTCATAGGAGGCACCTGACGCTGCGCAGACGCCAATCGCTTACACAAGGGGCATGGATGGGAAGACGCAAGCAGATCAGATAATTAGATATCAGATCTGAACCTTAGGAAGGTCCACTCCATTGAAAGCAATGAAGCTATAGCTATGCAAAATCATTCAATCGTCTATGTTAGAAAGCAAAAACGCAAATAACAGGAAGCAATAAGCCAGCGCCCAAAGTTATACAAGGATTTTCGCTCCTCGTGTGAGGAGGTGAATAAAGGAAGTGCATTAATTTGGGTATATCCAAGAAAAGCAAGCACCAACCGTTTGTTGGTTTTTTTTTTAGTTACTTAGCTAGATTTAATTTCGAACCGAGCTGAGTGATGATCTACTACAAAGTTTGTTCTGCAAGAGCCCCTTGAAAGGGG